GCCTTTTTCTCAGCGAAGTTACACGCCCGCCGCGTCTTCACCTGCGGCTTTCCATTGTTTTCACGTTGCACTTTTATGAAGCGTCACGTCGGTAAACTCTCTCACTTTCATCTTTGTCCTGTTCCGTATTAAAATAAAAAACAGTATCTTCTAATTTCATACCTATTGCAATAGTTTTCATTAGACAAGAACATCAGGTTACGTTTCGCTAAAAAATGTATCATTTGAAAAATGTGAAAGACACGTGTTTGTGTTGGTTGAAATAGAATTTTCGCATGGGCAGTAGGTATATAATGTTTAGCAGGTACTCATTGTCAGACGCAGTTTATTGGACAGGAGAACGGAAATAGAGACGTTTCGGTAATGTATTCGAACAACGCTTGGCTCGACTGAGATTTCGGCAAGGGGGTAGGCGTACGTCTATATATGCGCATAGAAGATTTCAGCGCGTACCACAATATTACCATAAAGCCGCCACCGCGGTTATGCATAAGCATAATTTTTCCAGCGGCATAGCTTGCTCGTTGCACGGCTTACGAAGGCCGCAGCGGTTGGCCCCGTCTCTAATTGGTCATGCGGCTAAACATTGCATAAATTCGCAATAAAGCTGCCGGCAGGTCACGGGTGGTACCGTTTCGCTCGCGTCCAAATTACCCCGGGATTTTCTTCGCGCGTGCTAATTTCCGCTTGTCGGATTTCCTTGTTACCATCGTCCGCGGGCTCATAAGCATGATGGACAGCCTCTGTGCTTGCCACCGAATCGGTAGGAGGGCCCTGTGCCCGAGATACGGCTCGCTCGATCGGAGAGAATCCGTCCCATCGAGCCGTTTCATCCTTTGTATCGTCCACGTGGTCTTCGATAATTGAAGGACGCTTGAATAATCCTTCCCTCTGAAGAGAAAAAGCCGTTTGTATTGAAAAGAGGACAGTTAATTGACTCCGTTTGCTTTGCGATTTCCAGGCGAAAGAAAAAAAGAATCGTGGAATAATGAAATATTCAGCACGTTCGAGGAGTCTGTTGTACGATAAGAAACACTTTGTCCCTCCTCGTTTGGATGCAAAGGGGCAATATTCAGAAGAAAGCCAACGATAATATCGATTTTCCTTTTCTTCTCCTTCTCGCATTCTCTCTTTTCTTCCTTTTTTAATTCGGGGCATTCATTAAAGGTTTCCCGCGTTGATGTTTAACTTTTTCCTCAAGTTCATTAGGTGCTCCATTTTAAACCGTCGCCCCCCAACCCCATCCTCTTTTCATTCCTTCTACGCCTTTCGTTCTCCCTTTCTTCCGCGGCCCCGCCGGCTTCTACACCTTCCGTACTTTCGCTTTCTAGGTCTTGTAACGCTAAAAAGCATCGGAGCGAAAGGACCGAGTGCCCAGGGCACTACTTGCACTACGACAGTCGAGTGTTTCTTTCAAGATTTCTTTCGAGGCTCTTTGTCGCCTCGAATGTCTTATCAGGCTTGATAGATCTTTGCTAATGGTTACTTTGCGGTGACGCTTTACGTTTCATCTGGAATCACCCGTACCGGCGCAAATGTGTTGTTTAAAAATTTTCAATTTCAACTCTTATCATCTCGACGCAATACTTTTCCAACAACATCGTTCAAACTGTCTACAATTATTCTCGAATTTGTAAGAAATTCGTTGCCTATAGTAAAATCAATTGTTAACGCGTAAATCTGTCCGTTCACCGAAACGCTAAACTTGTCTCGCACAATTCGGCTAATTGCAAGTTCTGGCTGGCAGAACGACGGATGGATAGCGCGAGGACTCGCCTACGCCGCCACCGCGCTGTAGAGATTAAACCGGCATTGTCGACAAAACGGGTGCAGACAAAAGAAAATCGCGTCACCACCTCAAACCACCGTGAAACCGGTACCAACCAGCGTCGCTTCGCTGCCTTCGCCGGGGTAACTGTGGGTATATGGGTATACAGGGTGCAGATAGCTAACGAGAGGGAAAGAGAAAGATAGATATAGAGAGAGTAAGGTGGATTGGCTGGAAACGCGCGGACCGAGTCTAAAATCCATTCACCGCAATTAAGTCAAGAGTTGGGATATTAATATTCGCGGATGTATGTACGTATAAAGCGGAATAATAATTCAACGCCAGGCGCCTATTCGCACGGGCAGCAGCATCGCTCAAGTTGCCGCCACCAACGGCGGACAGTTGCTTCCTTTCATACATGTATGGCGTGCGGGTAGCGAACGAGGATTCGGTTAGCTCGCATTTATTACCATCTTCGATACGCGCCTCATCCGCCTGTTTATTTTCCGTCACGCGCGCCTTCACTCAACCACCGTTTTACCGTTCCCTGCGTTTCGCTTTGCGTGCGCAAGGCTGACGTACTTGTTACGTACGCCTGCATCCGATCATATCGCAGGTAATTTGAATATAAATGTCTGTTGAAATGTTTCGAATCGAAAGTGTTACGTTCCGATTAGATATCTCGTATTTCAGATAGTTATTTTGCGGGTATTGCGTCCTGAATATAATTACCGTTATTATCTCTGCGCGGAAAGAAACTTCAACTTCGGCATTGATGTAATTATAATTATTCAAGATTTAAACGTTCAATGCGACTTGAAACGATACTAGCTGTCAAAATTGATCCTGGTACTATTAGCATTTGCACGAGACAGTCGTAGGATTGGTCGTCAAATTTGACGCTGGTCTTCCACGAACGTGGGACATATCGCGATTTTTATCAATGTAAAATTGACAGGTTCGTTATTTCTAGACGAGGTTTGACACATCTGGATTGGCTATACCGCGATATTCCCTTCCCCTTGAAAGATTTTAATTATTCCCAACCGAGATTTAATATCGTACGATAATCGCTGTCGCGCCGGATCGTGTCGCGTCGTGTGACCGAATATTCTCACACGTACGCAGCTAGAGCACGTCTTCCCCGGGCACATACTTCGTGGCTGGTTATTAAATTTTCACGGCGAGGCGAACAGTCTTAAATATCGATTTTAGTCGCTTTCTTTCTCCTCCATTTCTCTCGTTCCACACCGCCGTTCTCTTCTCTCTATTCCCTTTTCCCTCGTTTCCGTCGGTTCCCTCGGCCCCCACCTCTCCTGCTCCTCTTTTGCTCTTTTACACAGCCTTTATGATCCTGTCCCAGCTCTGCCATCGAACACAGTTACACGGTTAAACGACGCAGTCCGGCTGCGTCTGATCCCGACCAAACGAGATAAATATGTCACATTTTTTTCAAATTCTAACGAACATCTACGAAATTAGTTTCTACTCGGGGTAGAACAGGAAAGGGAAGAGAAGTAGACGGCGGGAGCATTAATCTTCCAAGAAGTTCGACAATTGCTCTCGCCTTTTCGATTTTCGTTCACGCTCGCAGACATTTATCGCGGCCCAATAATCTCTCTTCTTCATTATCCTAGAAGGTAATATCCTCGGTTCTCCAGATTCTGCAATCCCCCACGTTCTTTTACACTCTCAGCATTTCTCATTGGAGGAAATTTCGTTTGGATATTAACTCTTCGTAATTTATATTTCAAATACTTTTCGCAAAAACTAATGGGAAGGCAGGGGTATCAGTCCTCGTCAAACTCTCAGCTGGAGAACGTTATGAAAAGGCCGGCCGGACTAATTCGGTGTCACGGAAGTTAAGGAGATTACGTTAATAAATCCCTGTAGCAGCGGACGTCCATTGTAGCTAGATCAAGAGCTGCTATTACTGTGGGAATGTAAGGATGCATGAGTGTAAGGATGTGTGTGGCCACGTGTCGTCAAGCGGCGATTCTTCAAATCGACACCGTCAAAGTGACACCGAGTTCAGCTCGTCACGCTTGACGAACTTCATCCTATGCTATGCCCACGTCTTATTCCGATCATTTATATTATAAATAAACGACGGTATTAAGGTTGTATGAACCCTTACATAAAAACAATAAC